AGGAATTCCTTCTACGTTCTTGTGCTGGTGCAAATGTGACATAAACCATAACAAACATCATTCGTATTGAAGTATTTTCTCCACATTTTTTTAAGAGAGGATGGACACACACACAGTGCTGATCTGTCCCAGATGAACAGCTAGAATTTTTAGCTACACTAACTTAAACAATAGGTATCCAGTGAAGACACCTTTAATCACTTATCTAATTGTTTTGTTTCCATTAGAATTGCAATGAATTACTATAATACAAGCAATTCTACTATATAAATTAATCTTTGAGGGGAAATGTCTTCTTTCAAGAACCAAGAAGTATCTAAATTAAAGTCCCTAATATTTTTCTGTGACACTTTTCTACCCTATAAGTGGAACAATTCACTTCTCTCTGACACTTTTAGAATGCTGCACTTGATTTAAAATAGGATCTTAACTCTGTGAACACTTCCATCACACTATCAGGATGTTCTTCACAGGTTTGACTAAATGCAGCAATATTGTCTGCATTTTAAGAAAGAAGAGTGTTAAGGAAAGATAATGTATGTGTATGTCAGGGACAGGGTGAGAGGATGAGGGGGAAGAGAGAGAAAGCTGCAGAGCTTGTGGGGGTGGCATCAGATAATGAAACTTTTGTTGAGCCTAAACTTTCTTTGTGATGGGTTTAGAAAGTCTGGTCAAATCTATCCTGGTTGCATGAAAAGCAGGTGCAACACTGAAAAAATGCAGCTCTGGAGGTCTCATTTATGAAGGAGAGAGTCTCTCCATCTCCCACCCAGACATGGAGATTCTTCACTGATTCAGGCCAACATCAGCTTAGAACAGTTAGTCTTGACGAATTAAATATTTTGTTTCATTTCTTTATAATGAAAAAGGGGAAAACACACATACACAAAAAAATAAAATCAGTTTTTTGTGTGCTAGTGTTCATCCACGATTAAAATTTCTGGCTCATTTCCCCTGCCCTACCTTCTTGTATCTTTGAGCAATAACAGCTTCAGGGAACAAACAGCCTAAGCTCAGTCCCTTCCCCTTCCATTTCAGCCTTTTTGACAACTGCAAAAGCTGAAATCAGCAGAAATTATAACCTGCAGGTAGGAGAGAGTGGGGTAGTTTGGCAATGTAAGTAAGGAGAGCTGAAAATACCTGTAAATTACAACAGACTATTTTAATGGGAAAAAAAGTAGTGATGTGGGTCTAATGCTGAAAGAAAGACCTGATTAAAATCAGGCGTGGCCTTGGTTACACGTTAAGTATCCAAACATAGTTAAGAAATCAATTAAGTTCCTGGGTTATAAATGTGGTCACTCAGCCATGTCAGACAATTGTCATTACACTGCAATCTGCCTGTGCAGGTACAACAACATGTACCACCTTACATCTGACAGCCATTTATCACCCTCATGCTGAGAATCTGTCAAAAGAGATAGTAGCTGAAGTGGCCGAAGTAGCAACCATTCATTTGGTGCTACATGTTGGTACAGAAATTAAAATTAGAAAATCATAGCAAGTTTCTAATTAGCTGAAGACAGGCATTGCCATCCATGTTACCCTGAAAGAGAGAAGTACTTGTTTGGGAAGCCGACGAAGACAGATCAGTCTAACATCAGTAGCAGAGTAAGACAAGGATGACATAGAAATAGGGTTCAGGCTGATTAAAACAGAGGCGCAGCCTTGCAACCCAAGCCTAGAAATCCATAGATGATGTGCAGAAGGAAAGCCAGCCAAGAGAGGGATTTAAAGAGGGAGGTTTCATGGTCAGAATGTACTGTTATGACAACAACAGGCTGTTACATAAAGATACCACTGTGATCAGTAGTGAAAGCAGTGAAGCTCAGTCCCAAGCATTAGTAAGGCAAACAGTGCTTGGCTACTGCAGAAAGGTGGTTGGGGGAACAAATTCATTAAAGAGAATAAATAAAAGGAAAAGAACATGTGGAAAAGGAGTGTAGGAGATGGTCAGAGTCTGAACAGAAAGCCTAACTATTAGAAAGAAGCAGTGAGCATCTGAGATATGACTCTGGCTTTGGACAGTCCATGACACAGTAGCAGAGGCAGGCACAGGGCTGCATATCCAGCAGCACTTGTTGTCCCTACATATGGAGCAGAAGACTGACAGACATCAGACTAGCGAAGTTAAACTACAGCTATACAAGCAACCCACAGAGAGCTCATGATTTGAGCCACTTCCCTTGGTAACAGACATAAAGAAACTACCTCCATCTTCTCACATGGAGTAGTGCAGCAAAGTTTGATATTGAACATAAACATGCTGGGGTTGAAAAAAGTGACAATTTCACAAGCCTTCAAAATGATAGTATTGTCTATTAATAAATCTTTGATCAAAGACAAACATTGAAAAGGGGACAAGGGATTGCTAAACATAGGAAAGGCAACTTACAGATCCCAGCGTGGTATTTCAAAGTGCTAACGCTGTGTTTGTGAGCCTTGTACGTTTGGATTCGCTCCCCAGTGTCTACTAACCAGCACTTCACTGTCCTGTCCGCGCTTCCTGAGTACAAGTGCCGATTCACTAGCTGAAGGGAAGAGAAAAAAACATCAGCAACAGCCTCTCAGGAGTGTTCGTGACCAACCTGCAGTGCAGTGACTCACACAGAGTCACGCTTCCCACTCAACGGCCTGTTATAAAGGGCAAAAACTGCACCTTGAAACAGAGGGATGGTGAGCAAAACCATTCCTGCACTCTCCACAGGTCCATCTGGGAGACGATGGGCTGGATGATGAAGCCCAGTTGACTTCTGGGCCTTAGAAACAGCTCCACTTTTCAGATCAAAAACTTAGCCCACCTGCTGGTACAAGCAGGCAGGATTTCAGTGAGCTTAACAATGCTAACCTTACTTCCATAATTAGTTACACTAACATGGCCTCAAAACAGACCCTGCAGTGTAGTTTCTGCAAAGCATATATGGCAAGAATACTCATCAGATTTAAAGTTTGAATTACAACAAAAATTTCAGAACAACTTTGATTTTTAAAGAGGTACATCAAAAATAAAATCCTAAACCAGGATTAAAATTATTATTCTGCACAAGGTCAGTATTTGGAAACACTAACTCTTCTTTTAAACTGTTTTGTGTTAAGTGTTTCTACAAGTCTAAAAAGACTGTGTTATTGAATGATTAATTAATCACCCTTACACAGGTTTTTAAACCTCTTCAATCAGATTGTCCTCTGCTGTATGTTTAGAAAAACTCTGCCTAAAAATCCCAAGGAAGAAGGTTCCCTCATTACACCAGTCATCCTACACATTGATTGAAATCACCAGTGGTGGAGGTTGTTTTTTATTCCAGACAGACACAAAAGAGAATGACAAAGGAAGGATTGCAGTTGGGAAACCAAGAGAGAGAGAATAACAGACCTGTGCGAGACTCTAAA